TCCCTAGATCCAGCAGAGCCAAGAGAGTGTCTGATGTCCTTCTCCCTGGCCCTGCTGGAAGGGTGCATTGCATACGCACACACATACTTTGACAGTTCACCTGCTTGTGGCTTCCATTTAAAAATGATGGGCTGAACAGTGCAGTAGACCTTTGCTAAGCTGTATGGATTTGACGAGGTGAGCTGAGAAGCTGTGCAGGTGGTGGGCCCAGCTGGTAGGTTGAGAGGTAGCAGCCTGCAGCAGCGAGCAGGCCAGACAGGGCTGGGGAGGATGTGTCTTCAGGTGGGAGTTCACAGCCTGTCCCAAGCCACAGTGATGTGCCGCTCTCTAACATCTGTGGTTCTCTTACCCCTGCGCACTGGGTGCTGTTTTATAAAAATGTAGTTACAATTAACTTTTAGAATTAGGAAAACTTACCTACTTCAGCTGTTGCACTCAAAATACACTTCTATTTCTTCTTTATCTGGAAGTTTAGTTAAAGTATAGCCAGTGTTCTGGAGGCTTTTATGTTTTTGTTTCTGTACCTCCTGCATTGCCTGTGCAACCACCTATCCTTGTTATATCCCTAACTTTAATCCTGCTCTCTATATGTGTCTCTTCTCCTCCCCAGGAATTGAGCTACCAAAGGGATAACACTATGTCACTCATGTTTGCAAGGTGCTCTGAACGTCAGGATCCTGAATACAAATATTTAGTCTTTTATTATTTCTTATATGGCCTGGGGGGTCCTCCAGTTATTACTGAAATGTTATTATTACTACTGAAAATAAATATCATGCAAGTTAATATCAGCTTACCGTATCTATTCAGCCCCACTCTGTGTGGGATTGCTTTGTGCAGCTAACATCCCTTCAGGGAGTTTGTGTTAGATTGATGAGAGAACAGTGAATTACTTCTTGTCTGGTTTATAATATGCTGATTATGAAAAATTCTGGCCAGGATGATCTAGTGTTCTCAGTGCTGCGAGTAGACTCTGGAGTTTGTTAAGAGGTCTGCTGAAGGAAAGCAAAACCATTTAAAACACATGAATAAAAAGTATGTAAAGCTTGCATTGCTGAGCTGTTCTGTTTGACACCCTGTCGAACTCTTTCTGTTGCTGAGAGAGGTTTTGCCTTGGAGTTTCATTTGTTCCTCTCTGCCAAAATGCTAAATCCGTATAGTTTCAATATCCTTGCTGCACGAGGTATTATTAATCCTCTATTTGGGATTTTATGTACTTGTGGGCTAGACCTTCCACTGGTGTAAATTCACTGTTGATACTGGTGGGAGGATGCTGAATTACACCTGCCAAGAATTTGTAGGGTTTTTCTTTCCTTCTGGCACATTCCTGCACCCACCTTGGAAGAGACTGTCATTATGGTACAAGATAAACTTTCTTTTTTCCCTTCAACTCTTACACTTATTGGTAAATATATTCCCCGTACACTAGAGATGCTCATTCATGTGCCTCCATCACCCCTGTCCCTTGAACTGGGGAAGGCCTCAATGAAACCTTTGGCTTCTCATAACAGAAATCTCTTGTATCATCGGCTCAAGCTGTTCATGGGTAACATCAACAGACAATTTTGGAAAACCAGACTGGGTGTTATCTTCAGTTGGTGCCCTGGTGTCTCAGGAGAGGCAGCAGCCGCTTCTGGAAAACAGCTCCTCACGTGGAGATGTTGAAGGTAGGCAGAGTTGCAGTTCCCCTCGAATGGACATCTGCTTTCTCCCAGCAGTGGTAACAGCTGTGGGTGGCAGCAGCAGGCTGAAGCCTGAGGCACATGTCACTGAAAATATTGCCATATGCTGGTTCTGGTGCACAACTTGTTAGTGCACTTAGTTCCCAGGAGTCACTAAGAGCCACGTAATGTGCGTATATTGCTTGAGTTGTGTATGCACGTACCTTGTATACAGCCAGCCCCTTTATATACTCCCTTCGTATCTCCCTGTTTTAGGATAAGCTATTTTTGCTTACAGAGACTGGATTTTTCTTAGGAAACTCAATCCTTTACAAGCCAGGGCTGGCTCCACATGTCTGCTGTCTGACTTGCAAAGTCTTTAGCTTTTGTTTTGTTGGACACGTCTTCACTCTGCTTTGTTTGATTTCTTCTCTTCTCATTCCTTCTGTCACTTCTTTACCTTTTTACTTTATTCTTCTTTCTTTTTCTGTTTTTTTTTGTGTGTTTTTTTGTGCATAGTCCTCTCCTTTCTTCTCATGGTTCCTTTCTTCAAACTCTTTACCCATTTTTCTCTTATTATCTCTCTTCCATTCACACTGTGTCTCTCTTCTGTTTTTTTTTTCTTTCCTCACAGGGGACATTTTTCTCCTGAACACCAGCAGGCTCCCAGATAGATGTGAATTCAGCCTGCATAGCCCCATCCTGCCTGGGAGCTTGGACTCTTGCTTGCTGGAATTGGCCATATATTCGCAGGATGCTGTTCCTCTCCTCCAGAGGTTCACAGTTGAAATCAGATATGTGGAGACAAACAGAAATGTTATAATTTCTCTGAGAGTTGGCCATGAGGAGGATGCCAGGTAAGACAATCAATTTGCAGCTGTTTAGACTTTGAATCGCAGGGTAGGGTGGAGTCCCTCCAGATCACTGTTTATCAGTGTCTTCTTCCTTCTGGAGATCATTGCTGCTCTTACAGCAGAAAATGAAATCAGAACTGTCAGGACTGAAGCATGCAGCGTCCTGAAAGGATGTCTGTAACAGATCCAGGTTTTGTGCATCCCCCTTGCAAAAAACATACTTGCTTAAGACTCACACTTCTTCCCTCACATTCAGAAGGGTCAAGAGCCTTGGCTGTCTCACTGGTGCTAGGACTATAGTTGTAAAATGCTCTCAGCCTAAAGACTGCCTTGGCAACATGACTGATATCTCCAAGTATTCAAGGGGTCCCATCATGGGTACAAGGGTCACATTTCTCATTTTGAGGTAGGGTTAACTTTACCACTTTTGTAATTTCCTCCTTCTCTCTGCTAAGTTCAGGAACATCCTCTTTAGCTTCATTTGTGGAGTTCAGGGAAAGGGAAAAACAGAGGCTAGAGGTGAAAAGAGGTGAAGACAAAGTGCAGCAACTCTGGATCTTGTCCTGTATTCTCTTCTCTTTGCTCTTCCCAGTGTTTTCACTTTTTCATTCATGTAGCAGAATGCAGTGAGGAGGAGAAATGGGCAAAGGGAATGAATCACAACAGGAAAAGAAGGAGAAAAGTCCACATATCATATGATTTTGCCATTTTCCATGTGCTTGTTTTTCCTTTCCTGCAATCTGCCTTGTAAGAACCTGGGTCAGACACACAACAGAGCTTTTTATTTCCATCACCTGACTGACTCCCATGGAGAACTTAAGCAATAGATCCCAGTTCTTGTTTTCTTTGAATTCTTTGGCACTCCCCAGGCTGCCATGGGGATCTGTAGCCAAGACTCCTGGTCAGCCAAAGATAGCAGAGTGACTAAAAAAATTATTTTTCTTTCTGATCCACCTCTCTCCCCCCTGCTTTTAGCTATTGCTCACTTCTATCTTGACTACTCCTTCCTTTTCTTCTTGCCAATTTCACAAGGAATCTGTTGCATTTTCTGGGATCAGATTCTAATGTCCTCTTTTACCTATAACTGCCCTTGCTGCTTTGAGTATTTGACAAGCTTCTGCAACTGGAGCCACAGCTCCATTTCCCTGTATAAACTCATAAAATACCTTTTTGATGTACCTAGCTGGACAGACTAGGCTTTGATCACAATCGCTGCAGCATATCTGGAATGGATCATAGATGTTCTTTAACTGTTTAGTTGAACACTGCAAAACAATTTACATGAAATCAAGATTATAATCTCTCTAAAAGTAATGGCAATTAGATTTATTAGAATGGAGTTAGCTTCACTGGAAGCTGGCGTAGACATTAGTATTACTTTCTCTTAGAGAGTGAAATTAGGCACTGGTAAGCTCTGAGGGTTTGGTATTAAGGTTTTAAAGATGGAAGGTGACCAAGTCCTGTTTTAAATCAAGATAGAAAGGAGGAGAAGGAACAGAGACAAAAGAGAGTTACGAACCATGTTAGGTAAAATACCCTTCCTTTCCCCTCATTACAGGGAAATGCCTTAAAATCTCTACACAATTCCAGAAAAATCTGAGCATGCAGGCAGGACAAAATTTATTTCTAACACAGTGACTGATCTGCTTCTTATTAGGCAGGTAGTCTGAAATGAACATTATCTCCATGATTAAGATTTTAACAACACTGGTTGTTAAGAAGCGAGGCCATCCTGAAGCCTTTCTGCTTTCCAAGGGCTTTCCATGGGGAGTGGGAGCATTACAAGCTTTTCTGTGTTAACCAAATACTGCTGCACAATTTAGAGCAGAACAAGGAGGACAATGAGCAAATAGTCTTGAGGCAGATGCTGATGTGTAGTACATACTTTAACCATTGACAATTACTACCAAGGGATTATCTTGAGATCAGGGTAGAAACTTAAATATAGACAAAAGGCTAGGTAGCACCTTTGGAAATAATCAAGCACTCCAGAAAATCCTACTTCAGTCCCTTTTACCACCTCTCAGTTCCACAATCAAGCTCTGCTTCATCATAAATTCCCGCTGCACAAGACCACTTAGTGAACTGTCCTCTTTCTGGACCTAGAAATCTTCTCTTGATGGTGTTTCCTCCTTCAGGATCCATCAGCTACACAATTCCCAAAAGCTTAGATATATGTCATGCATGAGAAAAAGCTGCTGTCCTGTCCACCTCACTAACTACCAGGACTTATCATTGAATTGATAGTATTGAAGCTGCCACTGATGTTTTCACACATGTACCTTAGTGAAAGAATAAAGAAACAGATGGACCTTCAGACACCATGTCCTCTGGACAAGTAGAGCAAAGTCACAATATTTATTATTATATACCACACCTACGTGACATGGATATCCTGAGTTACTGCTATTAGAAGGAGAAATGCTAAGGGAATGAGGTGTTTCAAATTCTAGGTATTTATAAAAAAAGACATAAAATTACATTTCTCATTATCTCAGTAGAGCTCAAACATCAAGGACCTGTAGCTTTGCTTGCAAGTCCAAGCCTTATTCATCTGGCACTTGGCTCACAATGTTGTCTTCACTTTCTTAGACTTACAGTTACAGTGCTCGGTCACATCTAATGTCTTTTTTACTGTTTTGCTTATCCCACCTTCTCCCTCTTTACCACACAGACCCAGAAACTGTCACACCTGAAAATTCTTCTGAGTCCTGTGTGCTTTTGTTTTGAGTGGTTTCACATGCTTCTGTTTGTTGTTGACCACAGTTATTTCAGTGCCAAAACTGTTTCAGTAAAGGACTAGTTTATTTCAACTCTTAAGTGCTCACAGTTCAGTGAAAAGGAAAAAAGCATCATTTGGTGCAGGGATAATCTTTTCCCTTTCCGTGGTCAGTAAGCTGAGTTGATTTTGTTCCGTTTCCTTTCTGAAATATAAGGCCCTGACCGTGACAGTCTTGGTAAGCCAAAAAGCAGAAAGTTCACAGCCATGTGCACACGTGGGTTTTCACTTAGCCAACCTCACAAAACCATTGTTGCTTAGTTTTGTGTGTCTTCCCCCTTCTTTGAGTGGTGGTGGTGGTGCTAAAATGCCCTGCTAACTTCTGAGAAACTTCTAATCTTCGACACCTCTGTTCTGCTAATGTGGTTGTTTTTAAAAAGTTTTACTAAAGTTATTTAACTCTACTGTCATACATGGAAACATTGCCATACAGCTCATCTAAATGTCTAAAGACACTTATGGTTATTTGAGTTTCATAAATTAGGTGTCCAACTACATAAGGCTTTGAAAGGGAGTAGTCTGGTAACCATCCTCAGAAAAGGCTTAATATGTACTGACAACAATGAGCACAGCCATTTCAATTAAAAAGTGCAGCCGGGAAAGGAGAGGCTGTCCAGCTGTTACGTAAGACTATGATTTTTGTACACTAGTCTGGGAATATGGTTTATTGCCCCTCATGCTTCTGTTGAAATTGCACCCAAAAATACACTGAGTCAAATAAGAACCCTCTAACTGGTTGGTGGAGGCAAGAGGTTCAGGCATGTGTTCTGCTCTCTCATGTATTTTCTTTTAAGTCTGATGGCTAGAACTGGATGTTTGTGAAGACTTGCAGATCACAGCTTCCTGTATCACAGAATCACAGAATCTTAGGAGTTGGAAGGGACCTCGAAAGCTCATCCAGTCCAACCCCTGCCAGAGCAGGATCATCCAGACCAGGTCACACAGGAATGCGTCCAGGCAGGTTTTGAATGTCTCCAGAGAAGGAGACTCCACAACCTCTCTGGTCAGCCTGGTCCAGTGCTCTGTCACCCTTGCAGTAAAAAAGTTTTTCCTCATGTTCAGGTTGAACCTCCTATGCTCCAGCTTGCACCCATTGCCCCTTGTCCTGTCATTGGCTGTCACTGAGAAGAGCCTGGCTCCTTCCTCCTGACACTCGCCCTTTACAGATTGATAACCATGAATGAGGGCACCCCTCAATCTCCTCTTCTCCAAGCTAAAGAGACCCAGCTCCCTCAGCTGCTCCTCATAATGGAGATGCTCCACTCCCCCCATCATCTTTGTGGCTCTGCTGGACTCTCTCCAGCAGTTCCCTGTCCTTCTTGAACTGAGGGGCCCAGAACTGAACACAGTATTCCAGATGTGGTCTCACCAGGGCAGGGTAGAGATGTATGTAGAAACATAATGTAAAGCTTCTCATTTGTATGTTCACTGAGGGAACCTAGAAGCATTTTAGCATACATGCCTTTATGCAATAACCCATGCAGTGAGTCTTCCTAATTCAGAAAGTGTTACAGCTTTTCTTTTCAGCTTTATTGAATTTTTCATTCTTACATAAGGAATTGTTGTTCTTAATATGAAAACAGTCTTTCTTAAAATTCATTATTACTTGGATATGCAAGGCATGGCATAGAAAGGATTGGTAAGGAGAGGGAGGAAGACCTTTGCTCATCAGAGAACATTGAAAGGCTATTGAAAATAAAAAGTTGAAATCATAGGTTTGCAGGGTGAATCTTGAAAACTCTGGCCCTAAGCATCAAGTTGCTTGCAACCCCAAACTTTCTATCATGCAAATTTCTCAAAATTATGTCGGACTCTGATAGCCCTTCCATACATACAGATAAATTTTAACATCTCTGTTTAGAAGAGTAATAATATTACCTCATTACTTGAGATCTGGTTTGATATAAAATCAATAGTAAAGGTATTGCCAAGCTTGGCTAATCTGGAAGCCTGCTGCAATGATCCATCTTCTGCTAGATCGACAATGGGCTTCGTTCCGGATTCCATTAAGAAAATTAAATTGGCAGTGAATAACACCTGTTTGGATAGTGAGACCAAGCAAAGAGGTTGTAATTATTTACAGTGTTAGAAATCTGACTGCTGTTGGAACTTGGGATGGAGGCTTTCTCTGAAAGGGAATACCTTGATGATGATGAGACTCCGTACACAGAAGTATTCTGGGTGATGCAAAGCTGCTTGTCATTTTTGCAGTCTCTGGATGCTTGCCAGCTTTTCCTATGGTGGTATAAATGGAGACAGATTTCAGTACTAGAGCTATTTCAGTGCAGAACTGGAATGTTTCAAGGGGCCTTAAGGCTCTGACAGAAAAATTGCCAGTTCACTCAAGTAGTGGTTTAAGATAGTGGCCTTGCTCTTCTACCAGCAGTGCTGGCAGATGCCACAGTTCTTCCAGCAGAGACTGGCAGAATGAACACTGCATCTTTCTCAACTGTGATGTTTCAGGTGTTGGTTTAATGACTTAGATCACCAGTGGTTTTCATTTATTTTTTATATACCAGGCTATAAATGGCAAGTTCCAAAATATTTGGCTCATAAACCCTGTAAGATAAAGGTGCAGCAGCTGAACTAGTCCCTGTTTTCAGCTATGGGGCAGTAATCTCTTCAGTTGCTACCACTAAGTGTAACACTGGTGGTGAATCAGAGGTTCCTGCCCTCAGGGCTGTGATAACACTGGCGATGCTGTGACGTCTCAGCTGTGGGTGAGTTATAGCTAGGTGGAGGCACTCGAACTGTGTCTCAGTTCTTGGAAAGTCTAGTATGCTTAACAGGTAAACTTCAGAAGATTTAAAGACTGTACTTGACTTCAGTGGCTTGTTGGACCAATTTGATTAAGGCCCGTTGATCTTTGTGGCTAGCAGGATGCAACAGAGTGGTGAACAAAGCTGTGTCATGTAGCAGAAGTGATTCAGTTCTGAGTCAGTGCCAAATGCTCTTGGATGTCGTGCCACAATGTGGTGGTGGGGGAATATATTTATGAGTGTATTTATAAGATATATTTATAAGTGCTGGACATTCCTGAAGCTGCACTGTAATTGAAAATGAAAGCAAAGCAGTTTTCTCCTTTGTTGGGTAGTAGAGATGGTGCAGTTGTGGTTCAGGGGTGAAGATTACTAAAGCTGAATTAAATTATATTGAACTATTGAACAGTTCAGGAGAATATGGTCATCTTGAGAAGAGGAGGTCAAATTCAGATGAGTTTAGGGTACTTGTGGGTATTTATGTGTGTGTACAGTGGTGGAAGTAGAAGTCTGGGTGATGCCATACAAGGGGTAGTAAGAAACTCTAACCAGAAAAAGGCATACAGTTCATTTGTGGAGGGAAGAATGAGTTAGGTAACTAAGCAGTGGCAATAAAAAGTGGAGAGGGTGATAAACAATTAAAGTTGCTCTGGGTTTTTTACAAGTTGCAAATTAGATGGTCTGTGATTTTCACACTGTGTCCAGTAGAGATGTGTTTGTAGTCCCAGAGTTGTCTTCCAATGTGTTTCTGGTGCAGAGCAGGGGCTAGATGATCACTTCATGGCAACTGAAGACATTTCCCAAATGAAGAAGTAAGGCTAGGAGCAGAGCTTGAGTATCACATCTTAACACTGAGGCCTGGCCTCCGTGTCATCCCACTGGCACTGAATTAGAGTCACTCCTCTAGGGTGCCTCTGACAACATCAGCAGCACGTAGGGTATGAGTAAATTTATCTCTGTCTTGTACTTTTTTTCTGAAAAGAACTTAGAGCAAGGATTCCTTTGTTACTATCCTTGCTACAACCCCTTTACAAAATAATAACATACAGTTTTACCTGTAATTTATTGTCTTGTTAACATGAGGTAGAAGGACAGTTTGGGGTTTTTTAAAAATAATACAGTTTTAGGAATCCTGCTGGATTTTTTTAATGACACCTGGATACCCTGACTTCTGTCTGACTGAAAATTCCCACTTGGCATTTCTCTCTAGCTTTCAATGCCTCACACCTGTCTTTAAAGTTAAAGTGCATGGGACCACCTCTCTTTCTCTGAACTGCCAAAAGCGCTGCATGGTTGAGAAACCTTTGCTGTCTAGGGGCTATGGCATTTGTTCTGTAGTGAAATGTAAATTGCCCAAGCTATATGCATTTTCTGGAACACCACTTCTCTTCTTCCCCTTGCTTTGTGGCTGACCTCTAGCCTGTTAAGCTGGGAGATTAGATGAAGAATGCACAGAAAAAGGTTCTCACACCTCATACAACCAAGAAGTATTCAGAGCCAGACATTTGCTTACAGTACATATAATGTCAGTGTTAGCTTGAGATGATCCAGAGAGAGACTTATGTGGCTGCTTGGTTGATCTGTACTTGCAAGAACAAACAGAACACAACCATGTATGTGGAAGGCACATATCAGGGTACGTATCCAAAACTGGTAATAATTTAAGCCCCATTTTAACTTAAGAATCGTTGGGAATGGTTGCATCTTTTAACCATTAGGAATGGGATCTGCAGCAAAGGTAACTGCAAGCAAAGCTTGTTAGGCTGAACATCACTTGTTTTATATTAACATCTCCTTGTTATGTTGGAGTTTACAGTCATCAGTCTATTCCCCATGTGAATACTATTACTTCTGTTTGGTGCAGAATCTTTATGCTAAAGACACAATGGATTCCAGTGTGCTGTGTGTATGGTAGCTATTTATTGTCTTCTAGGATGAAATGGAAATACCTCATGGCCCAGATTGGCCGAATAGAAAGACCTTTTAAAATCACCTTGCTGTATTCAAACTGTGGAGCACAAGAGGCTGGAGTACTGGCAGTGGGCTCCTTGCAACTCAGGAACTGCTTTCATGGTATGTTGCAATGCGGTCAGGTTTGGAATAACCAAATGCAGTCAGAAGAGAGAGCAGCATCCTCACCAACATTGGTGAGTGTGATCAGGGAGCTGGTCAGATGGGATATAAATGAAAGTCGAGTTTCCTCTGGGGGTTCTGGCAGTGTTTACCTGTCAAATGTCACATTTGCATGTATTTTATGTGTGTGCACACACGTGTACACGTCGCTCTGAAGGCAGGGTAAAAGCTCAGAATTCTACAACTGATTTAAGTGATCCTCTCTGCTTTTCAGTTTTGCTTTGCTTAATCTTTGTGTGAGAAAACAACAGGACTTATGCTGCATTCAGCAACAGGGATGGGAAAAAATCTTTGCCTAGATTATTTTAGCATTTAATATTTTTCTTTCTTAAATAATCAAGGACAAAAGACTACCCTGTGTCACTAAAGTCTTTTCCATACTAGGGCTCCATCTTCCAAGCCTATAAAGAAAATAAACATTCATCTGTACTGCATGGGATCTGTTTGCAACTGCCAGGCTGAGAACTTCTGTCTAAAATGAAAATAATTGGAATGTAATTATTTTCTCCAAAGTAGTCAGCGCTCAGCTCAGAAATCATCAGTTTTACCTGGCACGTACAGTCCTGCTGTGAATGCCTTGCAAGTGAACCTCAATAACTGTGCAGAACCTTGCTAATGTCATTTAAGCTTCTTGGAAGTACAAGGCTCTGTCGGCACAGGCAGCCTGCAAGTTGGAGACATAATCATCTTCGCTTCCTGGTTTTCGTGCATTAATATAATCCTATTGCCTCCATTTTGTAGAGATTGTAGAAAGAGCTTGGAATGTAAATGTAAAAAAACTTCAAATGTAAAATAAAAAAGTACTGGTTTCACAGAGCTATTTCATATTGAAACTGGTTCTGATCGTAGTAGAGATTTAATTTTATTGCAGTCATTAATCTTTTAATTTAACAACCATTAGTGCCGAGGGTTTTTTGACAGCCATGGAGTTTTAAGGGGATACATACAGCCTGCAGCACTATGCTAAACACTCCCATACGGTTCCTAAATAAGCCAATGCATGCACTCAGCACAACACAGTGCCATGAAGAAATGCTATTTCAGACTATGTACCTGGATTGCTGCCGAGGTGCCCTTTTCTCTTGTTTTTGGAATTAGTTCCCCAGGTTTTGCAATTTCTTCCAGAGCAGTTACAATCCCAGTGGAACTTAAGTGCAGAGCTCTGCTAGGGGGAAGCAGGTCCAGAAGAGACCACAAACGGTCCATAGCAGACTCATGCACGCACACATCCACAGGACAAGTTAGATGCATTAAAAGTCATACTTTTGCGAAATATCAGACTTAAAACTTGTGTTCAGCCTGGTTGCTGGCTACCTGTGCAGTCAGTCAAATGCTACAGGGGCACAGATTACTAGACTAGATAGGGTGCATGAGTACAGTGAGCTGACCTGCTGGGGAAGCAGCTCTCTTCATGGGCAGTATGCCACAGAGTTGTCACAGCAGCACAAGTGTTAGTTACGTCTACATTTTAACAATGCTTATGTGCCTCAGCTCGATGTGTCTGTCAGAATTGGCCCTCTGCCTCCAGCAGCAGAGTGTCATGCAGCACGCCACAGCTGCCTGGCAGGTGCACATTTGTGTGTGTAGAACTGGGGAGCACAGCACAGTAGGAAACTGCAAGGTCTTTCATCTAAAAGAAAAAAAAAGGTTAAACTAACTCTTAACTAAAGATAGCACAAACACAGCAGAAGACAGTGCATGAGAGAGAAAGGAGCAATAAATTTGGTCTCCATGAGAGCTGAGGTGATCTGCAGGATACTGCTGTATCATTTATCCCCTAAAGAACACTTTCTGAGATCCTACATATGAAGGATCATACACATTCTGCCAAACCATCTCTGGGCTTCTTTTTCTTTTTCTTTAGATAAAGAAAACCAAGATCTTTCCGTATATGACAAAGGCTCCACCTTCCCCTGCCTTCATGGAGGCTGTGTCAGCCACTTACAAATCTGTGAATTCATCAGTGATTGCCCTGCCAAAGAACAGGAAGGAGTGAGGTGTGGTGAGTATGTAGCATGTCACTTCATGGGAACCTTCATCCCATTAGAAGAAATAATTTAGAATGAAAAATAAGTTAAATTGATTCCATCTCTAGATTAATTAAGTATTTTGCCTCCTGAGTTAATTTAGCCTGTTTACATTAATTGGATACCAAGATTCTCTTTGAACATTCACTCTATATAGGATAAAGTGGATTTGGGCTTTTTGTTTTGGTTTATTTTTTTAAATATTGCAGTAAGGAGCTCCATGACCTGCTTTTCATAGATGCTGCTACTTCAGAGAAAGGCACAAACCTATTTGCATGTCTGCAGCTGGGTGAGAATTTCCTTCTGGACCCAAGGTCTGAACCTCCCTTCAGTGGAAGGTGCTGATCGTCTTTCTAGTGTTAGTTACCAACATAATGAGTCATAAATCTGTCCGTCCAAGATCCTACTTCAGAGCACATCTTGCACATCACAACAGAGAAATCCCCTTGCTCAGTATATGTGGTGCTAAGAAGCATCATTTAGCTTTTTTTCAAGGGACCTAAAATAATCTGTTGGTTGGCCTTCCTTTAACCGAAACACAGAAAATTTTGTGATGCCTGTATTTTTATATACAGCAAGGCCTTTGCAAACATATGACAGTGATTTACCATTCTTTAGCTTGTAGGAGCTGCAGTTTTGCATGGTATCTAGAGCAGAACAGAACTGCAAAGCCTCAAATATCTTCAGGAACAAAGTGCTGGCTTTCTAATGGTGTCTTGGGAAATTATCAAATAAGACCAATTAATACTTTGACATTGAAAAACTATGTAGCATAAGTTGGGTAGCTTAGACAACCACAATGGGTTTTGAATTTGGTGCTGTTTGTATTCTTCCATAATCAGGTTTCTTCTGTTTTCTTGCTTTTTTCTTATTCTCCATTGTAGACAGTCTCCCAGAGGGCTCACATTGCTCTTTTGAAGAGGGTCCATGTGGCTGGACACTGAATGAAACTGCAGCATCTCCTTGGTCTATTCGGGGCTTTAATGAAATGATTCAAGATGATTCATTTGTAGGATCTACCTTGCAAGCCACTGGAGGTAGGCTCCTCATAGTTCTCTCTCACTCTTTCTGTGTATTTGTGTATGTATATGTACAATAGCCTTGAATTTAGGTTTTTTGAGTTGATTTAATATTTTCGGTGGCATTGCCAAATCAACTTTATCATCAGTATTATCTATAAAAACTTTAAACGTAGCTAAAATGAACTTCTGAAGATGGTTCAAAACTTTATATGAAACAAGTTCTGCAACAGTTAACATGAAAATGTTGGAAGCTAGGATTCTTCTTCACCTTTAAAAATGATATGATGAATCCTCTTTTGTTTTTATATAGTCCTTCCCTCCTTCTTCCTCTAATGAGCTATGCAATTGCCGAGAACTTCAACAGCAGCATGATGGCTGCTGCATCTTAAAATAAGAACTGCTCTAACAGAGCTAAGCAGCTTGTAGAAACAAATATTTTAGAAACCCTTGCCAGGCTCTGCCAGTGGGTTAGGAAAAGCATTACATGTAAGCATATCCCAAGACCAAGTGGTCATGCACATTCTGTGCTGTAGAATACTACAATAAAGAAGAGTCGGATGATTCCCAAAACTGTCAGCTTGGTAAATAAGAAGGAGGGAAGCCAAACCCTCACGTCTTCGGGTTGAAAGTCGGAAGCATTCTGCACAGGTGAGTCTTGCCTCACAGTTCCCTGTCAAAATGAGAGGTGTCTATGTGAGTGTCCTGTGTGTCTTGAGAGCTTGTATAAACTGTCTCTGGGAACAAAAACCATAAATAAGCCCTTCCAGTCCAGTGTCTCAGCAAGAGTCATTGATGCTAATGGTGTAAGAGTTAGGGCTGATCACTGCAGATTGATGTGAGCCCCTTGAACATCCTAGAGTGGTATGTGAGGTTTATACACCCAAGTTTCTAGGAAAGCATTTGAGATGTTGACTTTTGTACTGTTGAAAGCTACTGGAAGGCTTATTATATCCAACTTAACTGTCTCACTAATAGCTTTGCTCTCAAGCCATTCTTGTCATCTTATTTACACTGTGCTTCAGCACAACGATGTTAAATTATTTCAAGAGAGTATAAAAAAGGGAAACATAATCTTGGCCTTTCTGATTCACTTTTCTGTCTGCAGGACACTTCCTCTACCTGCGAGCAGACAGCAATCAAACAAGCGGTATGGCCAAGGCTTACAGTACCAGCTTGCCAGCCAGTATTGCCACTGAAGACTACCAGGTATAGCATCTTTTTGGAGTTGATCATCAGGCTGTAGGCACTGTTTGCACAATATGCCCATTCTCCTGTGCCTCTGCACACTCTACAAAACACTGGAAAGCAGGCAAGCTGACTATACTGCCCAGCTAGCTACTTGTTCAACACTGGAAAGGAGACTTGAGGTTTGCCTCCTGTACTGACCATTCCTCTGAAGGGGACCCAGCACCTTAATTTTATGAGGTGGTCTTGGTTTGTAGGAAAGGGAGCAGGCTTTCTTGGCTGAGACATTCAGTATACCTGCTGCTGAGACTTCTCTTTCTAAGATCTGCAACACTTTTGTAGTATTTTGTAGGAGTTAAGAAACTTAACAGTTTAATTGAGAACAGGAGTGCGAAGTTAGCGGGCATTAGATTTTCCAGGAATAAAGATTTTTTTCACATTCTTCTGAAATTTCAGAAGGCGAGGGCAACCTGGCATGGATAAAATCACGTAACCTGCCTTCAGCCCAGATCTCTACAAAGAATAAGGGGAACTACGAGCTGCTGGAATTAAAAACATTGAATAATATTGCACTCATAACACTTAGGAAAATTAAGCTGCAAGTTTGAGCTGGAGTCCAGCCCTGCTCGGGGAAAACTGAAAGATCTGATGCCTCCTAATTAGAGCTGGCAAAAGAAATATAGCACAGGTGCCAAAAATGTGACTTCACCATTTATATTTATTTCTAAATCCTGGACAAGTTTGCTGGGTAGTTCCAACAAATAAAATGTGCTTGGAGCTAAGCTCACAAAAGCAGGAGGAGAAGCAGTAACGTTAGTTATGGTGTACGGGTCACAGAAAATCTGGACCCACTCTCTCCTCCACTGGCAAGGATTTGAGCCTATATTTCAGGAGCAAGAAAATTCCTGTGGTTGTTCCTTGCAGCACATGCGTGTGTGTGCTCCCTTTCCTGCTGGTGCCGGTGCTCTCTGTAATACAAAAAGTAGCTGGGTGCCAAAAGCAGTGGTGGAAATGCCAGTTCTCTCTTGCTGCGTGGCAAAGTGGTTGCCCCAAAGAAAGAAGAACGAGTCCTGCTTCAAAATATTCTTTGCCTTGGTGGTCAGGTTGCTGACCGGTCACATGTGTGCCACTGTCCAGATGATGCCTATGACTTGGAGCCTATGGTGCCTATGATTATGGATTGAAGTTTCCTGCCTCTAGTGACAGCTTAATTCCTCATTTCAAGGGCATTTTGGGCAGGGCAGCTCTCCCCTTGGAGTGCCCTATATAGTTCCTGGGGAGTGTAGACTAAGCCATATCATTGCAACACATTAACCTGGGTGGTTACAATGGAAATCCTTACAAGATTTAAACTGTGGTTCAAACCCTTTCACAGGAATCTTTAAGCTGGTGAGAACATTGAAGAGGAGTGCAGTCAGGATTGTTTTTCTACAATAACCTAACTCTAGTGGAAGCATTTAATGGTAAAGCATTTCTTGAGTTTAAGCCTGTGTTCCTCTGCTTTACTACGTTTTGTTCCTGAAGGAGATAACAAGGAATCCAGCGTGCTCTCATGGAGATGATGTCTGAGGCTATGGATATTGTTCTTAGTGGTTGGAGAGCAGCTGCCTAACAGGAGCTTCAGTCAGGGTCTCCGCCAAGAAATTCTGTGCTAGGAACTGTGACGAGTCACACACGAGCAACGAGGGTCTTAGTGGTGTGTGTGATTAGACAGTTTGACTGAGGATAAAATGCTTGGTGTCTCTAATCACCAGAGAGGGGAGAAGTGAGTACCTTTCCCTTTTTATTACAAGATACCATTCTTTTTCTCTTCTGCCTCTGTTACAGATCCAATTCTCAGTGCATGTTTTTGGCAGCTACAATGGTACTGTCTCCTTCTCTGTCAGGGAAGAGGTAAAGGGAGCTCCAGTCACCTTACCAATGTGGGAAAGAGCAGGGAGCTGGGGTGATCACTGGTTTCTCATCACCTTACCAATGCCAGTGCTTCAGAACCGGTAAGATCTCCGCTGGCAGCATCCATGGTTATCCCTGGAGATTTAGTAAGTTGTTACTGTCTTTATGGTGAAGCATCTCTTTCATTCTTGCCTTCTTCCAGGGCCATTTCTACTGGAAAAATGACAGAAGTACTGCAATTCTGCTTGCTGAGGAAGTATTCTGTCATACACGCGTGTATTCATGCATATACACAGCTTAGCTCAGCACAAGCTCATACTGTGTGTCTGCACTTACAAACAGTCTCAAACAGTGCTTAGGTATTGAGGATAGTGAGTGTCTGTACTAGAAACATGTTACCATTCTGAGAAAGCCAGTATATTCACAGTGGCAAAGTGCTCCCAGTAAGGAAACAGCTATATTACCATAGCTGCAGTTTGTGCTTCCACCGTAAAAACAGCCATGTGAGTCAAATGAGTGGTAAACTCACAGTTGAGCTCATACAGGTGTCCAGTCTAGGATCTGTACCAGTGCAGCCTAGGCAACTGGAGGTCATTCATTGCCACATCACTGATGCAACAATCTCAGGAAAAGATTGTTGCACAAACCAGCCTTGCACTCAGTTTTTCACAGTTTTAGATGTGAAAATACAGCGTGACATTGGTTTTCAAAATAAGTAAAATATTGAAGATTCAAAGAATTTGAGCCCTATCTATTATTAATCAGGTGTTTCTTCTCCCTCACTCGGTGTTGTTCAATCTCAAGCCATGTAGCTAGTGTTGGCAGCTGGTTATTTTGCGTGACAGAAACGATTTTTAAATTGCTCCAATCTGGTTTTTTGCACCTTCCTCAGGAAGGCCTGTTTCACATAACACTTAAGACAAAAAAAACCCTGGAAGTCTATACAGTAAAGATTATAAATGTACAACTATCCACCTAATATTGGCAATAAATAATGTCTGAAGACTTCATGGATTAGAAGGTGTGAGGGGATTCCTTTTAACCTCAAATATTCTCTGCATCTTTGTGTAAAAGACTAAGGATTTGGGTTTGGAAGTGATAGCAATTCAGACCCAAGCAGCAGTAAAACTCAAAGAGAAAGAATGTTGTTCCACCCTCCTTCTAGTTTAATTTCATGGATATGATTGGTCTCAGCATTATCATGTGTTCACCATGCGCACCTTTGCCCTTAATTATTCCTTTAGGATGGGATAGGTCTGCATGCTGGCAGTGTATTTAATATTCTTGTCATCTCTTTAGTTCTGCATATGTAAAGTATGAACAGGGAATTTGTCCAGAATAGCTCTTTTCCCCAGGCACTTTCATGTGAACCTAACTACAACAGAATCCTAGGGGCTCTTCAGGGGTATTTGAGACCTTCTGCTTCCTTTGATATATGATCCCTTATGCTTATCCCCTGAAGCCTTCAATTTGTGCATCAGCCCTCAATTCTGAAGGGAAATGGATCTTCTGGGGCAGGAGGGAATGGACAGCAAGAGACTTTAGGGAGCACTAGCCAGCACTGCATGAAAAAGAAAATTCGAATACTGTAATGTTTGAAAGAGTTGAGCACTTGGACAAAATGAAAGAAGGATAGGTCAAGCATGCATGTATTATGACAGTCTGTTTGAAGTTCTTTTGTCTTGTTTCACTTCATGTAACCTTTTTGTATGCCATTTTCAAGCAAATGTAGAACTGATGTGGCACAACAGTGAGGATCACTGTGGGTGAGGCTGGAACTGTCCAATCTAGCAAGCAGACTTGTGCTACCTGAGCCAGCCAAGTGACTGACAGCAGTAATAAGTTGTCATTTGCTGCACTGATCTGTAACAGAAACAGCAGCAGCACATACTTTGCTGGAAAGGGTTGCAGCTATTTGCTGCAAGTGAGAAAACTCTCATCCCAGGACACTTGGGCTCCATCCTAGGCCTCTTCTCTTGTTCCTTCCATGCTCCACTCCTTCTGTCTGGTCTCAGTTGCTTATGTGAGCACTCAGTGCCTTTCCTCTTTGTTTTCATATACTTGGTCTCTCTTCCTTCTCCTTCCAGCTCCTGTTTGTGAACACATTTTGTCCCACGCTTTCAGTAATAATTTCCCTCTCTGAACTCCTTTCTGCTTATTGTTTCCATCTCTCTTCCAGCAGATGCTATGTCTCTGTACGTTGCTTTTTTTTATTAAGTCTGACTCCCTTCCCTGTGCTTCCATTCTCTTCTCCTCCTGGTTATCTCTTGTGCACATTTATTTTGATGATCCCACACCTCCTGTAAAGGTTTATTCCCAGTCTTCCTGTTTGACTGGCTCTTTGTTTTTCTCTGTAGATCTGAGGCCTAAGCCCCACCACACACCAAGTCCAAACTCCCCTGCTGCAAAGTTCCCAGGGAGCTCCCCAACTTCTCCAAGATGCCACCTTCTTCACTCTGGATTCAGTTTAGGCAGCTGCTTTCTCCTATTTGACCAGAATCGGCAAAAAAAAAAAAAAAGGGCTGGGGAAGAAAAAATGTATTCCTTAATTTGGAAGGGCACTTCTCACTTCATGTAGCTGAAGCAGGACCTGACACGGTTAATAACAGCACTGCCATGGAAAACACTGCTTAGCCCCAGACTTGGAGATATCCAGGGAAGAGGAGTCTGCAGGCTTAAAAAAATTCTACCAGACATACAAGTGTCAGAGATGTAAAATTTTCAAGAACGTTTTACTAAAATTTGAAAAGATTCCCATTCAAATGGAAAAAAAGCTCATCCTTGCAGTGTGACTCTCTTCCTCACAAATTTCAGATCTCACTTCTAGCACCTGGTGGCACATAGGACTTAAAAAGTTGTCGGCATTTTTGATCATGGTCAAAATGATGAATCCCTGCTTTGTCTTGTCCTTAACACTGGCAAAACATTTTGACTGCTAGGCAAGTCATAACAAATCACCCAGAATAGAAAAGTTCAGCCTAAATTGGTTTAAGGCTGGTGAAGCTGCTAACAATTGTAAACAGAGGCGTATGGTGAATATTGTTGTACAATCTTAGTACAGTTTGCTATAAACCTCTGTGAATGACTTTTCTATATATTTGCGGGTGCTGGCAGCTTTCCTTGGTAATGCAAACTCCAACAATGCTTTGCTTTGGGAATTTTTTTAGTACAGAGTTTGGGCTGGCGTGTTATTTTTCTGTATCCTGGATCTTCAGGAAATTCCTGTCCTTCACTTCCTATACGAAAGGGCTGTAATTTTTCTTGGTTCCCTGAAGGGATGATAGCCAGTAACAAAGTGGATGGGAGAGGACAGGTCACACAGGAGAAGGGGTAGACATTACATGAATGGCTTTATGGGACCAGAAGTGGAGAAGCCTTAGCGGATAGGAGGAGATGGCCATGGAGGGGATATACAAATAGTATTTAACAGCAGATTCCTCCAGTGGCTTTATGTCTTAGGAGAGAAGAAAGACAAACTACATAGTTCGCTGATCAGACATCAGAGAGCTGGAGAGTGTAATATGCTGGAGTCAGCAAAATGAGCTCAATGAGCAGGAACACTGGAAACCCCTCTGGCTAACACAGCACAGAGTTCAAAAGGCAAATTCCTCCTCTTTTTCTGAATTTATAAGGAAGAGGAGGCATGCAGAGCCCTGAGCTTATCAGATGCCTGTTCTCATGCACAGGGGAGGGGGATCATTCTCCAGGCTCCCATTTGTACACAGCTGGAGCAGAAATCTACCTTGTAGCACAGTGCCATGGACTTTCTGCTCTGACTGCATGGAACAGATGCAGCAAATTGAGCTGACCAAGTATACACTGCCATATGGGTGCCTTAAGTAAGGAGTAGGCTGTGGTGCTGTATCTATGGCTGTGGGTCCTAGAAGTGCCCTAGTCCTTGGCTCAGGGTGCTGTGAGTTTCTCTTCCATCAAATGGCTGGAGGAATCACTATCTTGTGTCAGTGGACTTAAGTACAAGGTCTGAAGATGCAAAAGTATTGCTAAACCAGCTAATAATGAGTCAGTTTTCTGTAGGAAGGGGATCTAATGGCAAATTCCCCTCCAAACCTCGTAGCTAAGAGGGTGGTCTTTTAAGAGACCTTTGATTTGAATTTGCTGCACCAACACTTACTCCCAGAGTGCTCAGATCCTGTAGATCTGAATGCTTTCATTTAAGCACAAGGGGCTATTCTTGAGTTGGGGTAAAAGCAGCTTACCCCAAAAGATTTTGATGCAGCTATGCAACGATATATTAACTGTGGATATGGACCAACATTTGGCTGGTGGGTGGAATATGCGCACGCACTTTATTACGACTAATTTGGGACAAGTGTGTTGCTAGGCTGAATGATGAATGTCTCAGGCAGATCAATGCCTGATCTTTCATTAATCATCTTTGAGCTTCGCCATTGACAGTAGTAGAGATCCTCTCCATATGCCTTTATTATGCTCTAAATGGACTGAATATCAGACACCTGTTTACTTCTGAAATATAATGAAAAACAAATCAGTCCTATCCATTTGAAGGTGATCCTTCAGCCCATTTTCCTTCCTCCTTGTGAATTCGGACCGTGCCAATGCACATAGGACATGACTGACTTCCTAGGTAAGTAGCTAAACACCTGGTCACAGTGGAAAAATATGAAACAGCTCAGAAAGCAAACACTTTAGGGAGTTATGGCTGAAATTTAAAATGTCCTGACCTTCAGCCGAAATAAACTCATGTCATCTTGTTGAGGTACGCTGGCCGAAGGTCAGGCCCAAGATTCCTGTGTATTTGGATATTGTTGTTGTGTTCAGTTTTTATTCTGGTTATTGCATGGGAAGAAGGAGTTTCTTTTTCCCCCTTTCCTTTTGCACATGTCTAATTTCCTGGCTGTTTATAGCAATTAAATAAAGATTGTTGTCTGTGTATAACTAGTAGTGAGGGACAGTAGCTTGTGTTTCTACATGTATATGCAGAAAGCAAGGCAAGTAGGGTTTGTGTTCTTGTTCTCCATGAACTACGGCATTATATGAATGTTGGTTGGTCCTTACTAACTGTTGATGTGTGGATAAGAGTTCTAGCAAGTCCTCTTGGCTGCTCTGCAGGGCTTGTCTAGAGGAAACATTCTAGATAATGATGATCATTATTTGATGTCAAGGGAACATTTTGGGTTTTTTAGGGGGTTTCCCCACCCCTACCCTTTTGTCTGTCTTCTCCAAAACTTCTGTTTTATTGCAAAGGTTTCAACTGCAACTCCTGGCAACCTGGGGCTGGAATTCCCAAGCTGACATTGCTATCGACAATATTACATTTGGACTGGACTGCTTCACTGACGGTGAGCCACAAATGTTGCAGTATCTCTTAAAGAATTTGAGTAGTGTAATTGCCATCCCAAAGATCCAGGATGCACGCACACTGTTCCCCTCACAGAGTGCACATGGTTCATTTGTGTTAACTTTTACAGCACAAAGCCATTTTCTCTCTGACCTACTGAAGATTGCAAGTAGAGGCAATTTAACAGTGTGTCAGAGTTTCCTAGTGCTCTTTTATTCTCTAACCTGGGATATCCTGTATCATGTAGTAGCAACCTGCCTGTGTGTGCCTTGGCAAGAAACACCAGACTTATTCCTTAGCCCCTAAGTGGAAGGATTACATCACACTCTTCTTCAGCAGACCTCACTGACCTGTGCACCCTGGCAATTGATGGCTGAAGGGAATTTGTTGAAATCAAAGGGGAAAGTCACCATATTTTAGTGGAGGAAAGGAAGACAATGAAAGAATAAAGTGACTCCCTGACAGTAAAGTTTAGATTATTGCAACAAGTTTGTTTTACCCTGCAAGGAGGTGTCACTGCCAGATACGTAACAGATGTGCTTTCCTTTGCTTCATTACTGCAAATGCAGCTGACCACGATGTGTTCCACTGGAAAACGGAGCTAGTGCTACCCCCTGAAGCATGTTAGCAAAAGTTGGATTTTCTTAGCAGTCAAGAGGAAAGAGGTTGGATTTTTGAACCTTTTGCAAATATTAGAAATTGCCATCTTTTTGTACCTGGAGAAAAGTCCTATTACTCTGCTGTAAAGGAACTGGAGAATATGCAGCATTTGAATTGTGACTCCTATTGCACACAAAATATGCATCAGTGGTCCTGTGCGATCCTTCATGTGTTACCACACCCCGTATGTCAGCATTTAGACTCATAACAAGTCTCTTCAGAGGCTAGCTGTAGCCTAACATAACATGGGAAGGCTTATGTCAGAACAGACGTGTTAGAAGTTCTTCCTCAACAGAAGCCCCTTTTCCGTCTCACCTTTGTTTGATTCAGTCTCCTGTTCTCCATCCCTTTGTTCTATGGGCACTGAAACCACCCTTGTATAAAATGCTGAGCATGCACACTTTCATTTGAAATTAAGAGGAGGAGATTTTCGTGATGGCCATGTAATTCATTCACTCCAGCTCCTTAACAGGTCCCTTTGGGCCCCCCAAAATTATTTGCTAACGCTTTATTTTGAAATCTTTTGAGGAAACTGAAGGGAGTGGTTCCAGGTGCTCTTGTGCCAGCTGATGTGCACCCAACTGCTGGAGGTTACTGCCCTCCTGAGAGCAAATACAGCCTCCAGTTTACCCACAGACATTTTGCTGGCTCTGATATAGGGATGTATCCTTTGGCTAATAGGTGAGGCGTAAATGCCACTGCAGCAGTGTAATCAGAGCTTGTACATTAGACTGGCCAAGTTACTCCTCGTGTTCAATTAGTATAAATTGTACTGATGCCCACAAGCAGCTGCCACTTACCCCATTTGAAGGTGTGACCCAGAGATGTGTGACTCATGGCAGAAGAAAGGCATCATGAAGGAGACATGTTTCTCGGAAGTCTTACACTTGCCTCTGTTCCTTGAATCCTCTTTGCAAATTGACATTTTCTCGCCTCTGAAAGCAACCCCCTTGCATTTGTCTTCTCATGACTTTAATTCAGTTAAGTTGCAGAGAAGCCCAGCAGCTCTGCTGTGTTTTCAGTAATTAAATTATTTCTCCCTGGCAAGGAGAGGTTTCAGATGTCAGAGATGGAGCCAATTAAGATCCAAGCAGTGAATTCTTTGCATGAGGGCAGCAGGAAGGATGTATGGCAGGAAGGAAGATTTTGCTGCTTGCTAGGAAGTAAATATTATTTTCTCCATTTATTTCAATCCTGTACTTCAATTGCTCTACAAAACCCAGTGCAGAGTCTGAAAGCACTGCTTGTCTGTATGCAAGCTGGGAAAGAAGGTGAGGTTTTCCATATACCTCAGAACCAAGAGGAAAGATTCAGTAAGATTTAGGAGGAAAGGAAGTGCCTAGTGAGGCCAGCCTGAGGGATATCAATAAGGGCAATAAACAAACAGACCATTCTTTGAGTGGCAGCTTCTGGGCAGTGAGAGATGTTTTCCCTGTGAAAAGGTGAGATGAAACCACCTTCTGGTTCATACAATCACAGTGTGTAAGAAGATGTCGCAGACCAGGTGACATGGGTCTGGTTCGTTGTGAGAACATTTAGGAAACTGGCATAAAAATATTTTATTGGTTGAGTTAACTAGTGCTTTCATAGGAAAAGGTCTGAATTGTGAGTGTATAAATATGAAAACATGATCTGGCATGTCAAATAGAGTGCGTCTGCATGATTGTTGCCCTCCTCACTGCTTATGTGGTTGCTGCTTTTACTATTGCCTTTTGGTGCTCTGAGCATGATATTGTTCCAATTAAGTTCACAAGACCATGGTATGTCAAAGTGCCTTCTACTACTCTGGCCTAGGGGCTACATTTAACTCTGTGCATCATTTAGCATTTCCCAGAAGATTGGTTTCTAAATGGTAAGACTGTCCAAAGAGAGCTTTTGTATGGCATATCTCTAGTTCTTGACTTTGGAGTCCCTGACCCAGCAATGTCTGGTTCTGTTGACCTGCCAGTCTCATTGCTTGAGGTGAATGGCGGGGGGTGGTTCAAGCCTCATTACTGCCTCGTTTCACTGATTTAAGAAGGTGTTGACTAGAAATGCAGAAGATCAAGTAAAGGGATAGGGAAGGGAAAAGCTGTGGCAGCTTCCTCATTCTCTGTCCTACTCCAAGACAAGCTGGAGAGGCTTCCAGGAATACTCCAACCTGCATCAGTAAGGTGGTGTCTCTGAGGAGACCATGCACACTTTGAGGATCCTGTGAGACACCTTACTCTGATTAATCCCAGCTACAGGGCCTCTATATGTTTTTTCATTACAGTCCCAGAGACAAAGAAGTGGGAGTTAGTTACTCTAGCTCTTTGCCTGCAGGAGATGCCTCGTCTTTCTCCTTTACACTTCCCTCTGTCCCTTTTCAGAGTGGAAATCAAGAGCATTAGCTAAATCCTGGAGAAAGGAGTCCAGTGCTCTTCATGTTTTTCTGATATAGGTACACCTTAATATGAATTAAGTCTTGTTCCCTTCCATTCGCTTACAGTCAACATGTTGGTTGTCAGAGGAGGAAATGGAATCTGGACTGGAGCATCAGCCCCTGGATCCCATGGCTACATCATGTTTGTAGAAAATGCCACCTTACAAATTTGTGTCTGACAGTACATAACATATCGGCCTTCTAACAGTTAATGGCTCATGTGGACAGGCTGATGCTCAGTCTGTCTTGCAGCTTGTCTGCTGCTGAGCACAGAGGAGAGAGAAGCTTTCTTCCAGAGCATGAGAGTTTGAGACTGTTTGGAGAAATAGGAAAGACTGTTTGTTTGGAAATGAGGCATTGCCTTAGGATACTCAGTTGGGATGCTTCAAAAAAAATCCATGCAGACACACAGACCAACTCTATTTCAGAGAGTGATTTGCATTCCTTTGCTCTGGCAAATATAACCAGACTGCTTGTACGTCTCTAAATATCTGAAACTGTTGTGATCTTTGGGATTAGTAATTCAGTGCCAGCCTTGGGACACCAAGCACCTTTTCTGGCCATACATTATCTTTTTTCATTTGCCTTTCCTTCTTGTCTTTGATCCAGATCATTTGTTTTAGGCTAATTTCATTTTTCACTGGCTTGACAACTTCATCCATTGAAGTTCTCTATCCCAGTATGAACAGAGTGTGTCAGTACAAAGCTCCCTTTTACTTCCATCCATCAATGTGCTTTCAGTCAGACCTGGGGGTATATTCTCAGGAGTAAAAGCTCAGGAAGGTCTCCATGCTTCAATTTCTTATTTGGCCTTTCTGACACAGCTAACAAGGGTGTTAATTATCCCTATTTAGAGCAGTGGCTTTGTGGAAGAGATAATTGTCCAGCTGGAAATGAATGACTCTCTTTTCAACAGAGCATCAAACAGCTGTTAGATTCTCACAACTGGAACAAATTGAAATATTTGTAATGTTTTTCAACTAATGAAAAATGTTCAATATTAAATTAACTGAGGGCTCATAAAATGGAAGTAAGTATCTCCTTTTTCTTATAGAGATTTTCCAATCAAAGATCTGCATAGAAATGGGTAATTTAAGTATTGAAGCAGGATGTTTGCAGAGTCTAAGGCAAGGGTTCAGTTATTACTTTTTCTGGTTGTAAGGCAGCTTTGGTTATGCATGCTGTTCTCAATGCATTCAGATGCTTTGGCTCAGCAACTGCTTGAAGTCCCTCCTCTCTGAGAAAAGGCTGATTTTTAAAGATCTGTTTCACTGGTCAAAAATGTAGCATTTTGCTCTGTGCTTTTTAAAAAGGTTTGTCCAAACAGTTACGGCTTGCATCAAGAGTATATGATATGTATATGCTGTTTCTTAGCTGTGTATGTTAGTGAGATAAGCAATTTTATTTAGTAATTTTATTCTCTAAGCGAGGTCTGAGATGCTCAAAGTTGGTTGCTGAGAGGGGAGTGATCTGTTGGACTGGTTTACTTACCATGATACCATTCAGAACTAAAGACAAAAGTTTTTGCTATCACTTTCCTTCTTACCTCCACTCATTTGGCCATCCAGAATTGCCACCTGACCTTTAGGCCAGCAGAGCATCAATACCTGGTATCTGTTCTCCCACACTATGCTTTTCCCAGAGTTTCTTGGGATCACAGTCAGTAGAATTTGCCAGCCAAGGAGCTTATCCTGCAGGTGAGCCTGCATGGGATAACATAGGGAGTTTGTGTTCATGTGAAGTCCCACTGATGCAAGTGGTTAACCCAAGACATAGACCCAAAAGAATAACAAGAAGTTATGATTGTTTAAAACACTTTTTCTGCCCAAGATATTTGCTTGTTTTAACCAAATGTTTGTAACTGGTTCATTCATCTGATCTTTAAATGTTCCGTCTCTCTTTTCTACCATCCTCCCATCTCTCCCATCCATTCTACAAACTATTACAGGAAGACAACCAAATCATTTTGGTGGGAAGCGCCAGTATCCACGGGAGATTAATATCCTGGATGAGCATCTTCTGAACCCCCTGGAAGAGCCCTCCCTCCCAGGTAGGTGATTTAGTACTGAAAAGGTGTTTCTTGGCTGGAAGAGGTGGCTCCCTTCCCATCCTCTGTGTGTGATCTGCCTTCCCTATTAGCAACAAAGCAACTAAATATAATCAAAGATGTGGAGACCATGTCAATTAGTTTCCATTTGGCAGTAGGGCAGCAGCTTGCTGGAGCCCAGTTCACCAGTCCTTAAAGAGCCATGGAGGGGAAGAGAGTGAGGATTTGGAAATCCACTGAGGAGAAAAAAATGGATTAAAAACTAGGAGAACGGGGGTCACTGAGGACCAGTTTACTGATAGCAGTACAGACTGCCACTCTGGAGGGCAGGTAACAACTGTGCAGGTGAGAAAAGCTGTCTAAAGGAGGGCCTGAGGAGGGGAGGTTGTGCATGAGGCTGCTTTGCTGCCAACAAATACCTGTGCGTGACTGCACCACCTCCTGAAAACTGTCTCTGTCTGAAATATGACAATCTGTACTGCTGTAAGTTCATCTGTTAGCTCCAGGAGCAGAGATTTCTGTAATGTTGCTAACACTCGTACCCCAATGATTAATCTGCATCCTGTTTGCAGGATGACATCTGTTGGGAATCGTTTTGCTTGCCTCTTCTTTTGAAGAATATTAGATTAATTTTTTTTATGTTTGGGATTTTTACTGTTATTTTAATCATTCAGCTCTTAAACAGTTCTACTTGCGAGTTTGGCCCTTGTGCATGCACTGCATCATACAGTTTTTAGGTACTTTTTTAATAGTTTTATTCTTAGGCCCCATCTTATTCATTGGACAAGATGTATATGTTTGGGTCTTGGACAAGGGGTACGCAATGCAGGAGATGGTTTTCTGCTGTATTGTTGTAGAAACAAAGGAATAATGCTTAACAAGAGCCACAAAAAAAGTTTGCTTGAAGGAACAGGGCCCCTACTGAGAGTAGCAGCAGGCTGTGCTCCCAACTGTTGCTGCTGCCACAGGGTTCTTGTGCAAGCCTGAGAGACATCACTTAAAACTTTCACCACCTTTTGTAGATGGTCATGAGTTGTAATGGCAGATGCTTTCAGCCTTTCTGTGTATACACATTTCTGTGTATATGCTTCAGTTCCCATCTGGAAATTTGAATGTTTTCTTCTTGCTTCATACTGACATTGAGAAGAAAAATTTGTTTATGTCTGTGAGACTCTTTGATAAACCCCCTCAGAAGCTCCTCCTGACTCTCAAATGATGCATTAATCTGCAGTCTATGATTTATTAGAAAGTGTGCAGAAAATAAGGTGAGAGAGGAAAAAAACCAGTGACTATATAAAGAGCAGTAGTTGTGCTGTGACTAGAATAAAGTTGTGACAATATGATATAAGTATTCTGTAGTCATATAATTAAGGGTGCTATCTCAGTGGAGTGTGTTATGAGGGAGCTGCATTAAAGTTGAACAGATAAATTTAACTTTAACATGTACTGGCTTTCAAGTTGCAAACATTGTAAATGCAAGTTTAAGCATTTTTTGTATCATTATAATCCGTAAGTATGTGATCAAATAGACATCCTGAGTTTAAAAGCCCTGTAGATAGCATATACTGCTGCAACATGGTCTTTCTTATGATCATCTAGTTTTTATCTAAAAATCATTAATGTTCTTTGTGAATAACAGTAATGTGAATTTTGTTATCAAAGGATCATTAAGGAAACGTCCACAGGAACAGGTTTGTTTCAGTGATACTTGCCCTTTGGTTATATAGTTCTGTGAGTTACTGCACGTGTCCTAGTAATAAAGACGAGCTCACACCTGCCCCAACTCTTGCTGTTTTGGCCACAGGGGACACATCTGTTGTTCTCTGGTGGTTCACTACATGTGGTGCCAGTGGTCCCCATGGGCCAACTCAAGCTCAGTGCGACAGTGCCTATAAGAACAGCAACGTGTCAGTGACCGTGGAGAAAGAAGGCAGGCTCCGAGGAGTGCAGGTTTGGAGAGTGCCAGCCACAAACAGATACAGGTGAGTATCAGTGCGTGCTGAAGGTGCAGCCGTGTTTAACTGCTTTTTGTCTGTGGTGTCAGTGTGGGACCATCTGTGCTGAGTGGGTGGAGGGGGCAGTGAAGTGAGAGGGAAATAGGAGTGCTAGCTATAAGGATCTGTGTCTGAGCTACCATGAAGCCTGGAAGAGTGCAGTGGTGACTCAGGACAGATCACAACAGGAGTGACTGTGGGCATGCGGTTAAGTGGAAGTGCTGCCATCATTTCAGTCCCAAAGACTTGGTCTTCTAGATTTGGCTATAGCAGCTCATGCTATTTGCTCCTGAAGCATCTGTCTCCAGTGCTCTGGTGTAGAACTGGTCTGTCCTCGTGAGCAGCCTCAGATGCATGGGTCTGAGACAAAGAAAAGTTGTGAGATGCTGCAGCAGGGGAGCACGCTCTGGAGCAGTGCCTGTTTGGGATTGCAGGCTGGGGAGAGCTTGCAAATGGAGTTGCTCTGGGGATTAGAAGTGTAAGATTTGCCTCTTGACTTACTTTTTCTTCCAGGATTTCTGCCTATGGAGCAGCTGGAGGGAAGGGAGCCAAAAACCACAATAAGAGGTCCCATGGTGTCTTCATCTCGGCCACCTTCCAGCTGGAGAAAGATGAGCTGCTGTACATCTTAGTGGGGCAGCAGGGGGAGGATGCCTGCCCTGGGGTGAGGGCTGCACAAGCACATGTGGGCAGAGGCTTTGCAGATACCATTCAGTGGGTGGCTTGGGGTTTGGTGATGAAAGATAAAAATCCCAGGATCCAGCAATGAAATTCAGTCAGGAGACTGTGAAGAACCAATAAACCAAGTTAGAAAGAACCTCAAAAAAAATAAAGAACTCTGAAAAGAAAAACAATCCCAAAATGCATAAACAAATATGAAGCCCACAGGAATTTTGCCTTAAGTTCCTGGTGTTTGAAATAAGTTCTTCATCAGCTTTCTACTGCTTATTTTAAGCAGGGAGCTAGTAGGTGAGGGTTGTGTTCTTCCTCTTTTATTTTTCCACAGCCTAGGTTTCATTCTGCCTACCAGGATTTCAGATAATTTACTAGTATTTATGGAAGCACCCAGCAGTGTTGTGGCTGCACTGTGTTAGATACTTTCTAAGCTTAAAGACTAAGGTCTGAATCCAAAGCCTATTGAAACCAATGGGAATACTCCCACTAGCTACAGCGGCCCCTGTATTAGACATGTGAGTGGGTTTTTTTTTGTCATTACATGACAAACAGAAATTGATTATGTGAATGTTTATATATATGTCCTCTAACACTAGACCAAATGATTTGAAACTCCTTTTATCACTTAGGCTCAAAAGTTGCCTCTTGACCATGAATTCTTTGGTATTTCCTCTTTCCAGAGATGTGGTCTGTCACAAAGTTGTTTTCTCCCCACAGTTAGACTGCTAAGTTTTGCAATGCTTTCACTATTCTTGTAGGCATTTGAAGTTACCATTTACCTTGCCCAGAGCATGTGATGCCTGACCCAGATACTGCAACAGATTCTAAAACCAGTCTTTCCTCACTTTAGATGCTACAAGAATTATGTCTGTATAAATACAACATACATTTGTGCATCTGCAGTTCCCTCTCCAGCGCAGTGGCTTAGATCATTACCTGCAAAGGTGCCCATTATTCCCTTGCATTTCATGACCTGTTCTCCAGATTGCAAAGTATAACTGAGCACTAACTAGCTCCCCTTGGCAGACGCTACAGGAAAAAGTTTCCCTTCATTTTTCCCACTTCCAAAGCCCAGCTTTTTTT